TCCTGCTGGAGGTACTGCTGGAGCTGCTGGCGAGCTGCCGGTCCTGCTGGAGTTGGTGCTGCTGAAGCTTCTGGAGCTGCTGGTGCCGGAGCTGCTGGGGGTGTTGGCGCTGGTGTTTCTACTGACGCTGGTGCGTCTGAGGGTGCTGGAGTTGGCGCTGTTGGAGCTGGAGGTGCTGCTGGCGCTGGTGCTGCCGCTGGGGGTACTGGTGCTGTCCCTGCTGGTTCTGGAGGCGCTGCGCGGCCGAGGCCGTACTTCGTTCCGCTCCTTGAGCAGGTTCTTGGTCTCCCGCCCTCTACTGGTCCTGCTCCTCCCTTAGAGTGTCCACAGCCTGTCCAGTCGCGGTCACAGTTACAGCCCGCCTCCCCCCTACCTGCTCCTTCTCCCTACACTGGTCCTACTGGAGGTCTTGCTGAGCGTCGTGAGCCTGCGTCTCGTCCTGCGTCGCCTGTTCGTGCTGCTCGCACTAGTAGTCGTGGTTCGCGTCCGCGTCCTCCTGCGGTCCCAGGCACACACCAGATGGCATTGCGTCCTTCCACTGCTCCTCTGCGTGTCCCGTTGCCGTCTCCTCCTGAGTCCTCTCTTCCTGTCCTTGCTGACCCGGAGTCTGACTCTCTTCGTGCTGCCAGTCCTACTGTCACGCGTCCTACTGTTGTCACTGACCCTTCCTTTGAGTCTACTGCTGCGTCTGCCTTAGTTGCTGAGCTTGTCGACTTTGCTGCTCGCTGTCGTCTAGACTACGCCACTAGTCTCGTTGCTGAGTCTGAGTCTGTCTGTCCTCCGTCCGTCGGGGGTGGGTGTGCTCTTAGCACGGACGTCCTTGAGGACAGGCAGGAGGAGTTCCAGTGTTTTGCTGCTGCTTTGCCTCATCTCGTGTCCACGCTGATTGCCCCTGAGGGAGACCCGGATGAACCAGACATCCCGACTCCTCGATCGTACGCTGAGGCGATCGAGGGTCCCTACTCCTCTCAGTGGCAGTCAGCCATGGATGCAGAGATGGCTTCCTGGAAGTCCACAGGCACCTACGTTGACGAGGTTCCCCAACCTGGGGCGAACATCGTTAGTGGCATGTGGATTTTCAGGGTGAAGCGGCCGCCGGGTTCTCCGCCTGTCTTCAAGGCGCGTTACGTGGCTCGAGGCTTCAGTCAGCGGCAGGGAGTTGACTACTTTCAGACCTTCTCTCCCATCCCGAAGATGACCACTCTTCGGGTGCTGCTGCACATAGCCGCTCAGCGCGACTACGAGCTTCACTCTCTTGACTTCAGCACAGCTTTCCTGCAGGGCAGCCTGCACGAGGAGATCTGGCTGCGCCGCCCACCTGGATTCATTGGGTCGTTTCCTCCTGGTACCCAGTGGAGCCTCCGGCGGCCAGTCTACGGTCTCCGCCAGGCGCCCCGTGAGTGGCACGACACACTGAGGACTACACTTGCGGCTCTTGGGTTTGCTCCTTCTACAGCCGACCCGTCGCTGTTTCTGCGCACCGACACCTCTTTGCCGCCGTTCTACATCCTCGTGTACGTCGACGACTTGGTCTTTGCCACTGCTGACACTGCTGGACTCGCCCACGTGAAGTCCGAGCTGCAGAAGAGACACACGTGCACAGACCTGGGTGAACTGCGCAGCTACCTTGGCTTGCAGATCACCCGGGACAGAGCACAGCGCACCATTACCCTGACTCAGTCCCACATGGTGCAGCAGGTCCTTCAGCGCTTCGACTTCACGTACTCCTTGCCTCAGGCCACTCCTCTGTCTACTCGCCACTCGCTCTCAGCTCTGCCTTCGGATGAGTCCGTAGAGCCGAGTGGCCCGTACCCAGAGCTTGTTGGCTGCCTCATGTACCTGATGACCTGCACACGACCTGACCTTGCATACCCTCTTAGCATCTTGGCACGCTATGTTGCTCCTGGGAGACACCGACCAGAGCACATGGCTGCAGCGAAGAGGGTGTTGCGCTACTTGTGCAGTACGTCGGGCATGGGGCTAGTGCTTGGAGGGCGACGTCCAGTGGTCCTCACAGGTCACGCAGACGCTTCTTGGGCTGACGACCAGGCTACGCAGCGGTCGTCACAGGGTTACACCTTCAGCCTTGGTTCCGGCTCTGTTTCGTGGCGGTCTACCCGCTCGTCTTCTGTTCTCGGCTCCAGCTGTGAGGCTGAGATCTAGCGGGGGCCATGGCTGCACAGGAGCTACGCTGGCTCACCTACCTGCTGACTGACCTAGGAGAGCCGCCTCGTTCTCCTCCAGTTCTGTACGTAGACAACAAGGCCATGCTGACCTTGTGTCGGGAGCACAGACTGGAGCACAGAACGAAGCACATTGCTCTTCGCTACTTCCTTGCTCGTGAGCTGCAGCAGCGTGGTCAGCTGCGCCTTGCTTACGTGGCCTCTGAGGCCAACACTGCTGATATCTTTACCAAGGCACTTCCGCCTTGTGATCATCAGCGCTTTTGTACGATGCTAGGTCTTGTGCCTACTTGGCCTCACTTGCTCACTTCTTGACCTTGCTTGTACTGTGATCTTTGTATACCTGCACTTGCTTGTTTTACCTTTATATATGATCTTGCATGTGAACTGGCCTTGTGGCCTTGCTCTTGTGCTCGGACTGTGTGGTGACGTTGTGATCCACCCTGAGCTTGCTTTGCTTTGCTTGACTGGTCTTGTGACCTCTTGTTCTCCCCCACTTTGCCTATGGGGGTGTGTCAAACTCATATGCTATAGTCTGTGTAGGCTGTAGTGGGGTAGACAATATGGGGTACAACACTTTTAGGTTTTCCTACTTGTACCCACCTGCTTGCTAGTTCATCCATTCCTCATTCTTCACACGAAACACAAACCAAACTTTGGAATTAAGGTCTGAAACTCCTAGGGGAGTCTCATCACACTAATTCAAGATCCCCGTCTCATTTTCAAGTCAATCCAATAAGGTTTGATAGGCCTTTCATGCGATGTCGATATGTTTGGTGCATTTATAAAATCCAACATTTCGACACTTTCCACTCTCGTCGATGTAGTTAAAAGTGAAGGACATTGCGCATGTACAGTGTGATCACCAAAGGAGGGTTCACATTCGTGCAGCAATACTCTATGTTGATAGTTAAAGGGCGCCATGGTTTTTAGGGGTTCTGTTTATGCAAGCACAATTTATATTCCACAATTAAGGAACAATAGTTCACACTATACTTCACTCATATCGCATCTGGGCGCAACCTAGGGGACTAGCACGAAATGTACAGTTAATATAGCCCATACTCTGGCATTGTTCATCGGCTCAGAGACCTACTCTGACACAGATCGTGTCAGAGTCTATCTGGCGCGCAAGTTTCCAAAGGGTCGCAGATATCTGGGGATCCCATTCGCCACATATATATTTTACGGGCAGCCCTTACAAAACGTCTGGCGGTTATCTCCTGACGCATATTTGGGTGTGCGGTGCAGATGTCAGAAACAACATCCGCTGCGTAGATAAGGGCTTCAGTGTGACGGCGCCACGTGTCCGTTCTTGGCAGAACATCTGCGACACCTGAGGCACGTGATTCGCGGTCGCAGATGTGGAGCAGATTCCCCTCAACTTCCGAACACGAGCTTACGAGGGAGACAGCAGTTCTCGTTTAGATAGAAAGGTTGTTATCCAACACCGATTTTTTAGCTAAGGGTTCATCCGCCCAATACGACTAGGCGAGACGGTAAATGCTGCACACCACGAAGTCTCATATGACGGCCACTAAAAGATTCGCTAAACTAGAGGTTCCATCTGCGCAGGTGAACGCGACCCAAGCGTCGTTGTACCACGAGCTTCAACTCTGCACGAAAACCTACGATTCAATCCTCTTTAGGTGCAGCATCCATCGACCCACCTCATTCTCCCGGTTTTTGCATCCAAGCTTTCTTCCTACGCCCAGACTGCAGAGATCTCCAGAGAGGTCTTCCACTAGCTTCACCGGGTAGTTCCCGGTGCTTCAGCAACCTTAGGGGGAGGCCGCTTCAGGAGTTTAAATAGGGACTTATTAAATCCAAGCCTGCGACTACTAATTGAGTAGAGGTACTGGGTCGCGCAAGCCATGGCCGACACACCTCTGCTTAGGGGTTGCGGCTTGAAGGTTAGCATTACCAACGAAGACTACGACACATTAACAGGATCGCAGAAAGAGTGGTCAGAGGACCTTCTTAACTTCGCTATCTTGTAAGTACTGCGTCTGCCTCGTGTACAGAAAGATTGTTGGCTCCTGAGCCCTCCGCATCGACCGTCCGTCAACTAAAACCGACCTCTGGTTCTCTATTATATTTTAACGTGCAGGGCGTTAACCAAGAATCTGCTCTCCATACAGCAACGGCAGAAGATTGCTATTTTTTCCTCATCCTTCATACGGAAACGGAGTAAACTAATTCATCCGAAAGCGATATCGAAGAAGGCAACGGACGGCCTCCTCACCAAAGACGCCCTCGTATTCCCGCTGTGGTCCAAGTAAGTGTGTTATCATTTTCGCATATCGCCTACCACACAGAGGGGTTCACTAACAATATGCGTTTGCAATGTGCAGATTGAGCAGCGAGCCGAAAGTGGCTATCAGCCTCCTCGTTCTCCTAGCTCCATGCGATCTCCGCACTCCCACCCGGAGAACAGACCGTACACGGGTCATTTTCTTCGACCCTAAGAGTGGTGTCCCGACTCACTCTCACGGAGATTTTGCTCAAGATGTGTTGCAGTAAGTCATGCTGCTCATTGCCATTGAAATTTGATGGTTTATGAATCTGACAGTTATGCTGTCTTTGACTACAGATGGCTGCAGGAGCAATTGATTGTCGAGTACACAGCATTCATTGAAGGCAACAGCTCTAAGCACGACAAAATAGTCGTGAAAGACATGAAGGCGCGTTTGTCGAAATTGTACCTCCAATTTCCAGGGGGGGTGAGTAATTTTAGCAGTCAATATATTCGCGTGCGTCCAAATATGTGTGGGTTTCACAACGCTAACTCGAATTCATTGTGCTCCGAGCTGGCAGATGACGAAAAATCTCGGATGGGCACAACCAGGTTCGGGCCTTCAAGTCGCCCACGCATGGACTAAGGTGCTTGAAAAATGGGATGACATTCTACAGCTGACGTGGGACGACTCGTTTGTTACACTCGGCAAAGGCTCCCGCACGAAAGAGAAGGTAAAGGAGTTGCTTGTTGGCGAGTGTGACAAGTTATTCACTGTGCGCATCGACGACCACGAGGACGAGACGCTGGTGGGCCAGGGGGACGGTACAGACGGCGAAGCTGCTATGGAAGTTACGGACGGGGAAGTTGCGAGTGAGGGTCGGCTACCAATGGAAGTGCAAGCATCGGGTGAAGAAATTGATTGGCCGGATCCTCAGTCCGAGAACGACAACCAGATAGTGCGAACTATCGTAGAGGCGGCATCATCGACCTTGGTGTACACCCGCAGAGGAACAACGGGAATGCATGGTAGTGCAAATCAACATCAGGCTTCGGTGGGGAATGGAGGTGGGCTACCAGAGAGTGTGACTATCGAGATAGATGCTGTAGAGAACGGGAACGCAGAGGTGTTGCGCGGCAGCAAGCAAGATTCTGGGCCAGGAACAGTAGATCCAGACAGAGAAATGGTTGCTGCAGCAAAGGCAAAGGCTGCAGAGAAGGCGAAATCAATGGCAGAGGAGTTCAGACGCATAGAGGAGGTAACGCGACGTGTGCGGAAGGAGGCGGAAATGGCAAGGGCCGCAGACGAGCGTACAAGGAGGGAGGAGGACCGGCAGAGTGTAGATTGTGTGAAGAGGGTGAGGGCTGCGGGCGAGGCTACGGGACGCATGGAGGAGGCGCGCCGTACAATTGAGGTTGCTGAGATGGCGGCGCTGGCAGCAGGGAAACTAACACGGACGCTGGATGAAGGTGCGAGATTACGCACCGAGGAGGAGACGCGTAGTCAACTCGCAGCAAAACAGGCGAATGCCGCAGAGGAGCGGAAGAGAGCGGCAGAGGAAGTTATGAGAACGCAGGCCGCAGAGAGAGCCAGGGTTGGGGCAGAGGCAAAATTGCGGATAGAGGATGAGGCAGCTAGTCTGCGGGAGGACGCAGATAGGGCGACCGCTGCAGAGAGGGGTTCAAGGCTTGAGGCAGCGGAGATGGCACACAGAGAGGTCGAGGCGCGGCATGCAAAGGAGGCGGCTGAGACGTCGCAGGCCGGGGAGGACCGGAATAGGGCGGATGAACGGCAGAGGGCAGCTGCCGCATTAAGGGCCAGGCTAGAGGCAGAGGAAAAGCAACGCAAAGAGGAGGAGGCCATGCGTGCGACAGAGAATGTAGAGAGGGCGAGGTCCGCAGATGAGGGCAAGAGAGCGGAGCAGGAACGGCAGAGAGCAGAGGCTGCAGATAGGGTGAGTGCGGAAGCAGGTGCGATAGTTCGTATAGGAGTAGATGCCCGGCGTGCAATAGTGCAGGCAGAAAAGTCGACAGCACTATTGGAGAGAACGAGAGCTGGAGATGAACGGCTAAGGGAAAATGCTGACGAGAGGGTCAGGACGGAGGCTGCAGCGCTCGTTCGCAAAGAGGAAGAGGCGCTGCGTGCTAGAGATGCGGCAGAGAGGGCGAGGGCCGCACAGGAGCGCATGAGAGAGGAGCAGGAACGTCAGAGGGCAGTGGCTGCAGATAGGGTCAGGGCGGAAGCAGCTGCAATGATTCATAGGGAGGAAGAGGAGCGGCGGGCAAGGGAGGAGGCAGATGAGGCGAAGGCCGTAGAGGAGCGAAGGAGAGCGGAACAAGAACGGCAGAGGGAAGAGGCAGAGGAGAGGGTCAGGACGGAGGCTGCAGCGCTCGTTCGCAAAGAGGAAGAGGCGCTGCGTGCTAGAGATGCGGCAGATAGGGCGAGGGCCGCAGTGGAGCGCATGAGAGAGGAGCATGAACGTCAGAGGGCAGTGGCTGCAGATAGGGTCAGGGCGGAATCCGCTGCAATGATTCGTAGGGAGGAAGAGGAGCGGCGGGCAAGAGATGAGGCAGATGAGGCGAAGGCCGTAGAGGAGCGAAGGATAGCGGAACAAGAACAGCAGAGGGAAGAGGCAGAGGAGAGGGTCAGGACGGAGGCTGCAGCGCTCGTTCGCAAAGAGGAAGAGGCGCTGCGTGCTAGAGATGCGGCAGATAGGGCGAGGGCCGCACAGGAGCGCATGAGAGAGGAGCAGGAGCGTCAGAGTGCAGTGGCTGCAGATAGGGTGCGGGCGGAAGCAGCTGCAATGATTCGTAGAGAGGAAGAGGAGCGGCGGGCAAGAGATGAGGCACATGAGGCGAAGGCCGTAGAGGAGCGAAGAAGCTTGGAACATGAACGGCAGAGGGAAGAGGCAGAGGAGAGGATCAGGACGGAAGCAGCAGCGCTCGTTCGCAAAGAGGAAGAGGCGCTGCGTGCTAGAGATGTGGCAGATAGGGCGAGTGCCGCAGTGGAGCGCATGAGAGAGGAGCAGGAACGTCAGAGGGCAGAGGCTACAGATAGGGTGCGGGCGGAAGCAGCTGCAATGATTCGTAGAGAGGAAGAGGAGCGGCGGGCTAGAGATGAGGCAGATGAGGCGAAGGCCGTAGAGGAGCGAAAGAGATCGGAACAAGAACGGCATAGGAAAGAGGCAGAGGAGAGGGTCATGACGGAGGCTGCAGCGCTCGTTCGCAAAGAGGAAGAGGCGCTGCGTGCTAGAGATGCGGCAGAGAGGGCGCGGGCCGCAGAGGAGCTCGTGAGAGAGAGGGTGGAACGTCAGAGGGCAGAGGCTGCCGATAGGGTCAGGGCGGAAGCAGCTGCGATGATTCCTAGAGACGAAGAGGAGCGGCGTGCAATAGAGGGGGCAGACAAGGCGAAGGCGGTAGACGAGCGAAGGATAGCGGACCATGAACGGCAGAGGGAAGAGGCTGAGGCGAGGGTCAGGACGGAGGCAGCAGCGATCGTACGCAGAGAGGAAGAGGCGCAGCGTGCTAGAGAGGCGGCAAAAAGGGCGAGGGCCGCAGAGGAGCGCATGAGAGAGGAGCAGGAACGTCAGAGGGCAGAGGCTGCAGATAGGGTCAGGGCGGAAGCAGCTGCAATGATTCGTAGGGAGGAAGAGGAGCGGAGGGCAAGAGAGGAGGCAGATAAGGCGATGGCCGTAGAGGATCGAAGGATGGCTGCAGCGACACAGCGGATGAGGGACGAGGCAGACCTGTTATCTCGCAGAGAGGAGGAAGAGCGGCATAGACAACCTGTAGATAGGGTCATGGGCGAGGCAGAGGCGATTATACGTAGAGAGGAGGAGGATCTGCGGAGGGTTGAGGTCAGGCTTGAGTCCGAGACGACACTACCCAGCGGGGTGGAAACGCGCATTGCCACGACGGCGGCTCGCCGAACGACAGAGGACCCTCGGCTAAATCCAGACGTTGAAATGGGGGTAGAGAGTGTTACAACATCGACAGAGCATGGGAGAGTGGGCGCGGAACAAGGAAGAACTCAAGGGGATGAGATGAGGGATGCTGAGCTTGAGGATATGCGCCGCAGATGGGTAGATGAATTGGAGTCTCGCCAACGACGCGAGGAGGCAGCGAGGACGAGAGCTGCCGAAGAGCGGGAGCGAATAGAACATGAACAGGAGTTGGCAGAAGCTGTCCAGCGGCGTAGAGCGCAACGAGAACGCTGTAGAGCGGAGGGGGAGCGGGAAAGACAACACGCTGCAGAGATGGCGAGGGTAGAGGCCGAGGCATTGCGTCAAATTCTGGCGGATGACGCTCGGAGCGCACGGGAGGAGAATGAACGGGATAGTGCGGTCGAAGTGCAAAGAGCAAACGCGGAAACAGAAACTGCAGGGAATGGGGGAAACGCACCTCGAGCGTCTCAGGCTATGGATGACGCGACGGTACGGGCAATCGCCGAGGATGAGCAAGGTTGGCAGACGCTGAACGTGAGCGTGAGGCATCTGCAACGAGAGCGATGCAAGAGGTTGAGCACATGCGCCGTAGGTGGGACGAGCAGGCGGTCACGCGAAGAGCAAGATTGCAAACAGAGAGGATGCGGGTTGAGCGGGAAGAGAGGATGGCGGAGGCGGTGGCAGGTGATGAAGTGGCGAGGGCTACGCGTGATGCGAGTGATCAGTTTCGAAACGCCGGCCGCGATAGTGCTATGACGCAGAGAGAACGAGAGTGGGGAGAAGCTGAGAACTTCGTACGGCAGAACGTCATGCAAGGAGCGGCCATACTAGAGGAGACTGATGATGGGTTTGTGGAGGCGGGAACATCCGGAGTTGGTGGAGGTGTGGCCGGAGTGGCAGAAGTCCTGAGACGGCTAACGTTCGTCGCGCAGGCCGTGGCCAGCAGCTCCGCACAACAGAATGCTAGGATTAGTGGCAACCTCCGCCAACTCCAATCTGCGTGTACGCGCATTGCCCGGTGGACAGAGGACTACAACGAAGACACTGAAAACATGCTGCGGGAGTACAGAGAGGCTAAGGCGATAGCTATCATCGAACGTCAGAGGGCAGCGCAGACACGCACGGAAATCAACACTTCTATACAGGGGCTCCATCGCAGAGTAGCGGAATCAGTTCAGCGCGCAGTGGCACGGGAGTACGTGACGCTGTTGAGCTCGTTAAAGGAGCATGTGAAAGAGGGGGTAGATGCGGCAATGGGCCGGGCGGCGCTGGAGGGAAGACTTAGGGTGGTTCTACCCAACGACTACATGGAGACGATGAAAAAGGCGGTTGTCGCCAACGTCCAGGAAACACTGGCGGTGGTCAAGTCTGCGATGGATGAGAATTGCCAGAGGCTTGAGACTTTGAAAGCCGACATCCTGGCAGCCGTGGATGAGAAGCTGTCTGGGAGGATACATGTCGGCCAGGTTCCGGCCCCGCGACACAACCCGCCGTCTGCCCCGCATTTCTCCCAACCTTTCACGTGTGACAACTCCCCAGATGCAGCGCTCGCGGCGGCCGCGAACATGGTCGAGAGATGGGGGTTTGCAGGCCGACAGGAGATGTTGGAGTCGGAAAGACGTACAGAGACGGGAGGGGAACACACCAGCGTTGAAAGGGAGGCGCAGATGGGACGTGGCGAACCCACGGCGGTGACCAGTGTCGGGCGGGCTGACAAGGATGGAGAACGTGCTAGTGAGGCTGCGGAGCAACAGCGGCGCATGGAGGAAGCAGAGCGGCAGAGAGCACTCGTCGAGGAGCAGCGTACTGCCAGAGAGGCGAAAGAGGCGAGGCTAAGAGTTGAGCATGAACGTGCGGCGGCGCAGAGGCGCGCAGCGAGGGCGGCAGCACTTTCGATGGCAGAGTCAAGGCGCAAGCGCCTTGAGGAGGATGCTGCACGGGAGAGGGCAGACGCGGAAAGACGGCAAAGGGAAATGGAGATTGAGCGAAAGCGACTTGAAGACGAGCTAGAGCGTTTGGCAAAGGAGGACGAGCAAGAGATCACGGCAGAGGAACGGATGCAAAGCGATCACGTGGCGGATCCGGGTGTAACAGCTACTGACAGTTGCAATGTAGAGGGGCCGCGAGAACGTACGGTGGAGGATTCGGAGGGAGTTGTGGAAGGGGGTGTATCTGCACGAGAAGCACCCGCACCACCAGCCCTTTTTACGAGGACGATAACAGGATCCCTCTCTGGACGGACAGCACAACGTGGTATCACGATCGCCACCTCCATGGTAGAGAGAGCTAGGATGGCGCGGCAGATGGATGCGCAGTCTACGGAGGCGGTAGCTGGATCTACCCCACTGTTGCATTTCGACGTGCGAGAAGGCACAAATTGGGGTACCGCAGGAGACCAAATCGAGGAGTATACTGGTGTGCCCTCGATTGCGGCAGATCAAGCCACATTACCACGCCGGGAAGCCGTAGAAGCTGAAGGGCGCAGAACACCAAACCTGGATAACGTGCGGTCTGTAGTCGAAATTTTTGCAGAAGAGGACAGCTGCGCGCGAATGCGCATGGAGAGGGAGCAAAGGCGTGCAGGGGCTGCGGAATACAGAGCGCAGAAATCTGCAGAGATGCTGGAGCGAGATGCAGGAGCTGGGCAGAGTCAATGCGAAGATGCTGGGTGGATCACGATGAATGTGGATCGTACGGAGAGGGGGGCAGATGGTGCTTTACGAGTTGTCCATCACAAGGAACTGATGGTCACCCAAGCCGCAGATGGTGACCGGAGACGTCAACGCGTACAATCGGAGAGTGACGCTGAAAGGCCTGCAGCGAAGAGGCCGTGCCCTTCCAACAATTCACAGCCAGGGGATGCGGGTGTGCATGTAGTAGACGCAACGCGGGGTGGGGTCGATTTGCCCGCCATTGGGTCCGGTGTTCTACAGGTGCTGCAAGCTGGCGACGCTGATGTAGAGAGGGCCGACGATGATTCACACGAGCAGCCAGTTCCTGAGGCGGACGACGAGGGTAAGAGACCTGGAGTGCATCGGCCGTTCAAGGCGCCGGGATTGTTCGAGAGAAACAAAAACGATCCTGAGAAGATGCGGTACACATCAGAGCAGACGTTAGGGGGCAAGAAGCGGAACATGGGGTCGCATAAGGAGGCGTGGAGTAGAAACTTCACCGTATGTGTTTGCTGGCTGGCGTACTTCCCGGATTGCAACTTGTCGTCTTACGGGATCCCCGCCACAGATATTGAAAGGTGGCGCGATGAACTCCAATTTGCGGTATCTCTGCCGACTGGCGTGTGGAGTGTCATCAACGAGCTGTCGCTGGACAGATATGCCAAGTGAGTTAGATCCCAAAATGACTTCTGCGCCAATGAACGAACTTGTGTATGACTTCTAACCCCGCCCCTTTCGTTGCTCTCTGGTGCAGTTTCAAGGTCCTTATGAAGAAAACGACCGACCTTATTGCGCGTCAGATAAGGTTAGAGATCGCCCTCTCTGCAGGTGTGGCTCGAGCAGCTCTACTTGGGACGAAGGCAGGGGTACCGAACCCGCCAGCAACTGTTGACCCTGTGACGTACGCGACAGGTATCGCGGCTGCTCTCTGCACACTGTGGTCTGCCTCGATCAACAAGCCAGAAACACGATGGAAAGCAGATGCACAAGATGCAGCGGTAAAAGCGTACGACGACGCTGACGAGGCGGGGCGTGCAGCGGAGGTAGCAAGCCAAATCGTTCCAGCTCTGCGAAGTCTGTCAAAAGAAGTGCATGAGAAGGAGAAGTGGGAGCCGTTTGTGGCAGCAGCGATCAAAACCCGCCTTCGGCAAGCGGAGAATAACGAGGGTGTGGATAGCATGGCCAAGGTGGTAGCCAAGGTAGTTGTCTACTGGTGTCAGTGCCCCGTGTCTTCATTAGGCCTGGCTAAACACCAGAAGGTCAGTTTGAAGTTTGCGAAAAGTAGGCGGCCGCCTAGACAAAACAAGGCTGCTGAATAAGAGTTTCCTCCGTGGGCAGTTTCTAGATTGTGTGTGCTCTATGTAGTTTGTACAATATATATTGACCACCCGATACTTCTTCAAGAATGTATGTCTAAATAGTTAATGTTGAAACTATTTCGAGGGTTCGAGAGACGACCGTGATAGTTTTCTGCAAAACAAACGTACGAAACACTCGATTTCGACTTATTCGTAGAGGCAATACGTGTATGGCTTATTCGTAGATGGGATGTAGATAAGCGCACTAAACGAACTATCTACCACCGAACACATCATAATTCGGGAGGGAGTCCATGTGTCAAACAGGGTCAACCCGAAAGTTAAGGGTTATCAGGTGGTTATTCTGGAATTGCAGAGCGCCAACATAAGCCAAATCGGACATAATCGCAGAATTGCATCAGGGTTCGTCTGCAGATGTGGCTGCATGACACAGGATACGCGTCAAAATGTGCTCAAGTGCAGTAATGTGCGTGCCTATTGTATTGAAATCTGTTAGTATTGTAGAAGTTCACGTGGAATATGTACCAATCGCTGCGCGCCAATACGATCGAGCATGTATTGCGCGCCGACATATTTGCTAGACCCTCGGCTGCAGATGAGGCTGGGTGAAACATAAATGCAGACGTGGCGCAGAACATTGCTTCGCGCCAGCGCGAGCATTCAGTTTATTATCACCATGTTTAATCAACAAGTGTCAATCCAAATGCAGACACTGACCGCAAACTCATGACGACCCATTGGTCCAATACGATGTAGTATCCTCCACCATGGGGAATTGTCATTCGACCAAATGTAGTCGCCCTTGATTGTGCAGCGCGCCAATAGTGTTGGGAGTTTCCGGTTGCAGATGTGGCAACGATGATGATACGATTGTAGACATCATAGTTGACCATAAATTTGATGTGCCAGTTATGCGAAATGCCGCGCGCCAACACGAGCACAGACACCGCTAACTGAGGTAGTATGACAACAACCAACTAAACACGTGGCATCTTCATCTTTGCGTTCCGTCACCAATCGAGGCGTAGTTGCGATCTACGCCGACTACCATAACGCTTTCAATTCGCCCAACTGTCTTACCAAAACAACATTGACGTGGCGTTGCAAGCCAACGTCATCTGCATAGTGTACACTGCAGCACAACAAGTGGCATCCTACCCGTAGGGCCACCGCAACCCGATAAGAACGCACAGAATATCTGGCATTTCAATGACGACGTGTCAAACTGCGGATTGCGATGACCTGGCGGCAACAAATGCAGAAAGCAAATGGACTTGCTCTTGGTGTATATCACAGCGGTGGAGCCCAACTCGGCGTGAGTAGGTTTTATAGTTCGTTCACATCAAACACTGAACGCTAGTCTTGAGGTAGATCAGTCTACTGCCTACTATTCTCAGTTTCCACGGTTCTAAGGTGACTTGGCCGGCAGACATCGACGTCAGTAAAAGATGGAGGCGCTGGCTCTCGAGATTGACGGCGGAGTACGCGATGAACACGCCAAGACCATGCATGAGAGCTACGGCAAAGAAGGCGTATGCCACGCTACCGTGTCGTCGCTTCTATCGGAAACGAAAACACGTTCAACAGTGGTGTGTGTTGGTGCAACCCTACGGTTTGCACTCGGCTTGTTGTCCGTGTGCGTGAATGTGTGTGTGTATGGAATGGTATGAGGGCATGGGATAATATATATTTCATGCTTATAATTGTGTGTGAATGTTGAGTCATGATGTCGAGTGTGTGTGTCGAGTCAATAGCGAGTTATCGCTAGACGCGTGTTACGCGGTCGTTTGTGTCTCGCGCGCGGTTTCTATTTTGTCGTGCGCGGTTTCTATTTTGTCCTGTGTCGAACGTTCGGCGTGTCGCAGGTGTGTGCAGCAGACCCATCAAGAACTCAAGGATGAGTTTGTGATGAAGAGCCCGAGCCTTGGTGTCAAGCCTGAAGTGATTTCGAAGCTTGCCAAAAGGGTACACCTCAAGATATTGAAGATAGTTACATTACTTTGTGTAGTGTAACATTTCACTTGGTGTAGGCCCTAGTGAAGGGTAGTTTCGAGACCCTTCGTGGTTGGGGACAGTGTGGCACTGTTCCACATCACTGTACCTCGGCTCTTGGGGTTTGTAGGAGCTGGGAGTCATTCCCAACTCGTAACTCTTCCTATCTTGTGTTCTAAGACTATAGTGGCTGCCATAGTACCGTTCGTTCAAACCGACGCTGTGTCGTCAATTCTTTATCAAATCGTGCAATTTAAATTGCTAATTGTAGACGACGTGAAGACGCTCCAGATCCAATTTGAATCAAGTCATTTGCAGCTGTGAGCAGAACGCTATCAACGTTTGAAGCCGCTGTGCAGAAATCCGTCTGTGCTCTCTATCTTTCGTTTTAGGCACATTCAAGCCTATTGTGACTATAACAAGTGGTATCAGAGCGCCCTTGGAGCAGTTTCGACAATGTCTGGACCTGAGGAAAGGGGTGGCAGAGGTGCTGGTGGCAGTGGAGAAGCTCAAGCTCAAGGCCAACCCCGTGATTCAGCCATGGCGCCCATGCAACCAAGTCTTGGCCCACCTAGGGATGAGCCTAGGGTGTTTGGGCTTGACAAGTTCAACGGTGACAACTTTGCTGAATGGTCCTTCAAGATGGAGAACATCTTTGACCACTATGTCCTGCTGGAGGTGATGGAAGGAACGGAGAAGCGCCCCGAGAACGACCCGGAGAAGAGCCCGTGGGTGCGGAAGAGCGCACAAGGCTATCTCTTACTTGGGCAAGCGTTGGGGAGCAGTCAGATCCGTCACATCAAGCCATTCCAGCGTGAACCAGAGAAAGGACCAAAGGCATGGGCTGCTCTCAAGGGTGTACATGCTCCTGCAACAGCGGCGGTAGCGGTGGTGTTGGAACGGCAAATGGCGGCACTACGAATTGAAGAAGACGAAGCGGTTGAAGAAGGGGTGCAGAAATTCTTCGACTTGTTGACGCGGCTTGAGGGAGCTGATTTGAACTACAGTGAGCTCCAAAAAGAAGACCAAGTTGCTGGCCTTACTCCCAGAGTCATGGTCCTCGCTCATCATCAACCTTAATCGCGACTTGCCCCGCCTCTCGCTTGAAGACGTGAAGCGAGCTATCCTTCAAGAGGATTTCCGCCGCCGTGAGTTGGCGAGTGCGGATGGCGCTGGGGCAGCGAGCATCGGCCGTGGATATGGTCGAGGAAGAGGCAGAGGACGAGGGGGAGGAAGGTTTGGTGGCAGCAACTTCGGCGGAGGCCGCAGGAGTGGCGGTTACGGCAGCGACGACAAGAGCTACGGACGCGGTCGCGGCCGATTCGACGGCGAGTGTCACTATTGCCACAAGAGCGGACACATGTGGTGCGACTGCTACAAACTCCCTGATGGTTGGACCCCTGCTCAAGGCCAAGAGGGTAGAGGAGCAGGAGGAGGGAGAGGACGAGGCCGTGGAGGCCGTGGCGGTCGCGGTGGCGGAGCTGCAAACATGAAGAGCGGAGACAACGACAAGGACCCGAGCGACGATCGATACCCGGGTCTATTCTACTTCGTGTCGACGCAAGTACCGGCTGGTCCAGAGAAGGATGAAGGCTTTGAGGAGCCAGCAGCTGTGGGGAAGGTGACCCTACACCCCCTGGACTATTGGGTGATTGATAGTGGCGCTACCTATAGCATGACACCTCGCCCGGACTTGCTCACCGAACTCGAGCCGTCACCGGTGAAGCATGTCACATCGGCTTTGGGGCAGCGAGCAGAGGTGAAAGGCATGGGCAAGGCCATGTTCAAGGGTGCTGATGGGAAGATGGTGGGCCTCAAGAACGTGCTTTGGGTGCCCAGCCTTGCTGCAAACCTGATTTCCGTGCGGCAGTTGGCAAAGGCCGGCATGGACACGAACTCGAAGGGAGCCAAGACCTACACCGCAAGGCTTGGCGATCGAATTCTTTGGGACCTTCATGAGGACAGGGATGTCTACAACGAGATGTGGCAGATCCCAGTGGTCCCTATGCCTAAGGAGAGGCAAGTGGCAGCAAGCATCAGCACCAAGGATGGAGCGGTCGGTAGCGACGATGGCGCGAACGGTCGCGCTAAGGAGAATGAGCTCAAGAAGAGCAAACCTGGAGGGACCAGCAAGTTCAGTGAACCTAAGGAGAGTGGTGCAGCAACCAAGGAGCAGCAAAAGGGTGAGGAGAACCCAGAGGCAGCAGCGGAGGAGGACTACGGAGAGAGTATGTGGGGCGCTATTGCGAGCGCGGCATTCTCCAATCCAACTTCGGCTACGGGGGAGTGTGATTGGCTCACCTTGCATCGGCGCATGGGGCATGTGGCCCTGCCCATCTTGCAGCAGCTAGTGAAGAA